GGTCTTAAAGGGTTAAAGCCGTGTTTCTATGCTTTGTGTCCAACATTCACACACTGATGGATGCTCTGGAGAACAAATGATCGTCCCTCCCTCAGCCTGGTTCTGATGGAGTTTTCCTGTTAAAAGTGAGTTTTTCCTTCCCACTGTTGCCAAGTTCATGCTAACAGGGATCTGTAACGGAGGCTTGTTAGCACTCTGTAAGAGTGCTGTTGACATAAAAGTGTGCCCTCTTTAACGCTGATAGTCGCGTCTTTCTGCTCTACAGATAAATATTGAAGGTAAGAAACGTGGTCGATCTAATAGAAATATCCAGTTTTACCTTTGCTTTCGTTTGAGCTGCAGCAGTTTCCTTCAGCCCCTCCACACGTCTCCCGGAGGGCTGACACCTCCCTCTCCAGCCTCTCCAGCCGCTCTCGCAGCGGAGCAAAGTCGGCGTCGCATCCACAAGATCCAGACCCAGACGCCGAATCTGAGGGAACCAGTTTGATCTTATGGGTCAGAACCAGAGGAGAACCAGGCACCAGGTCAATTTCTTTACCTGCAAACAAGGACATTTGGTTGTGATTATATTCTGCAGTAGGAGCTGAGCTACAACACCCCCCACTGCTGTGACCGGGAGAAAAACTACAGTTTCTGGATGTTCTTGTTTCAGGTCAGACTCTTTACCTCCTGTACTCCCATCAGATGCATCACCCTGAGTGGCACAGCCCTCTGAGATGACCACCTGCAACAGCAGAAAACACCAATCATTGCACTTTGTTTCATGTTAAGTTTTCATGTTCTCAATGCTGTGTTCTGCTGGTTTGTTCCACATATGGCTTCTCATGTTTCTACGTTCCTGTTGTCCTGGTTGAGTACTCCTGTGTCGTATTGTCCATCTTCCCATCAGTGTGTTTGAGTCTAAACCTTTGAGTTGTCTTCCTGACTGTGTTTGGACTTTGTCAGGTTTTTGGACTGTGGATTTCTTGCAGCACATCTGCGCCACCTTTTTTCATGTTCCTGAGCTCGGGGTGAAATAATCGCTGCTGCTCTGGAGCACATAGTGTCATTTCTGAAAGAGTCCATTAGCATTATCCTTCATCGCAGCTCCTCTGATTGGCTGTTCGTCTATCTAGTTGAGTTTGCTCTGTGCCCGCTGGAAACTGGAGCTCAACAAAAAGGTTCCAGACAAATTCACATTTGCACATTAGTCCGGCGATGCCGGGGTAGATATATTACAGAAGGCGCAGAAGGCTTATGGCTTTAACTTTCTGCTTTTTCCAACATTAAAATGTTCTGGAGCGCAGAGCAGCAAAGACGTCAGTCATCAGTTAAAACACATCGAGAGTTTGTTGATGATAGGTCTCTGCAATTTATTCTTTGCTTGGACTGCAGACGGCTTGGAACTGAACTCTGACTGTGCAGTTGGCTTTTGCATCATCTCCTGAGCAGATTTCTGGATTCAAACGTCCTAACAATGAGATGCCTGTATGTTCATTACTGGCCTTCACTGGCTTCTTCCTGCAATAAGGAATCATCTGCGGACAGATATGAAAACTTAAAATTCCTGTGATTGAGGAATCAGGCGTTACAGGGGTCATCAAATGAAAGCAGATAAAGAAGAAATCCCTGAACCTTTTAACCACACTGACCCTCGTTTAACCCAGATGACCACTGAACTGCCATGAGTCGGCCCATTTATCTCAGCTAACCCCTTAATCACCTTGAAGGAGTCCTGCTTGGTGTCCCTTGGTGTCCGTTGACCCCTTAACTGTAGCTCTTTGGAGGTCGACGGGGTCAGGAGGGCTGGGCCGGCCAGGAGGAGGAAGAGGAGGAGGCAGGGGATGAAAGGAAGCATCGCCAGGGTGGCACCAGGAGAAGACTTCCCTGGGTGTTTGAGGAGAAAGATGCCGGACCGCTCGGGAAATCGATGCTGACGGACGTTTGCCGGTAACAGCGGAGCCGGTTGCTTCCAGGACTCAGTTGGAAAGAGTCTGCAGATCTGGACCTGCTCTCACTTCGCTTCAGTCACAGAGGTGATGGATTTTTTCCTCTCGCCTTTGCTCTCCATGGGTTTTCCCACTGGAAGAGACACAGAATTACACATTTAAGCTCACCTTAAATTTCATGTTAGCGCAGCAGACTCCACTTTGGCCACAATTAGCGGGAATAGGGGGCCATTAGCTGTTTATGGGCCCGTCAGTGGAGCATGGCGGCCAATAAAAACCCGATGGAAAAAGTAACTTGGTCTGAAAGAGTAGCTTGTTATCCTGCAGCCGATTTTCTGACATGCGGATCAGGCCGGGGCCTGGCAACGCCGAATATTACTTCAAGTGCAATTTGGCCCCAAACAGCTGATTATGTGTGGAGCATCTGATCCCAGTTTAGAGTTTCTTTACTTAAAAAAGAGGCAAAACTGAAGCTCTGTGAATGTTTGTAAGACTTCTTTAGATACTTACACCTTAAATCCTGTTCATGTGCAGGAGGAAACACTGCAAACTCCTCCTGGTTACATAACTTTTACTTTACATTGTTAGCATATTTATGAGCAACAAGTAGCTCTGTGAATGGTCTGTCGGCCTCAGTAACCACCCGTGTGTCCTCTCAGTCCACTGGAGTGAAACAAGCATGTCTGCAGTGAAGCTGTGATGAGTGGATCCTGATGCCTCTTCAGCTTCAGCTTGCACCAGCCTGACTTCTATCTGTTATTTGTCTTTGGCTGTTTTAAAGCCTCCTATGAGAATAATTTAACTTTTGATGCAGGTGTCCTCAGGACTCGTCCATCATGTCTCTGCTTCAGCTCAGCTCTGGATCTGAACCCTGAACCCTGAACCTTTCCTCTCCGTCTGTCCACATGTTTCTCTGCTGCTAACTCGACCGACACACAGAGGCTTCTGCATGTGCGGTTTGATTTAGATCTCCGTCTGGACCTCGGCCAGTTTCTGCTCAGTGGGTCTAAGTGAGAACGATTACCTTGTAAATAGCTGCCTGTGACAGCTGTTCCAGCTGCTACGGGAGAACCTCAGGAGGGCAATACAAATTCTCAAAATACACCATGAAGGCTTCTCATGTGCTCTTCACCTTTACTCTCAGTGCTGCTGGAGGCTGTTCCCTCACTGCTTCCAGACTATGTGACAAACCTGTCGCTCCACGCCCACACTCAGGTTAATCATTTGATAGCACTGTAATGACCAGGAGGAGGAGATCTTATAAACCCTATAAATGTTCTTCTGGCTTCAAACCAGCAAGCAGGGGTGCAACTCCAGAAACTACTATTACCTAGTTAATAT